TTTGAGGGCATGTACTAGGACTACATACAGTAGATGAAAATTTCTTTGGTCAGAATGTCATGGAGATAGCTGCCTAACACACATGATCTGAAACCTAGTAATTAAAGGCAATAAGACCGGCTAGCAGCACCTGGGAGAGTGAACCCTGCATACCACCTAGGCAGTACAGTAGAGCTGGCCCTGGGTGTGGGGCACAGGTGAGCCAGCCCTGAGATTATTGGAGCAGGACAGCTGTCCCTGCCCCTCCTCTGCTGTATGGTGGTGTGGGTGAGCAGCCACAAGGCTAGGGAAGGAGAGAGCTGGCTCTGCCCCTTGCTGGTTGTGGCACTGGGTGAGCTAGATGGGGCAGTGCTGGAGATCTGGTAGGCTGACCAACTCAGCTGTATCCAAGGCCTAGATCCAGGTCACACCAACATTTACCCCATCTATAAACTGCTGGAGCATGTGAAGGGCCTGGTCCTGCTAATCAAAGCTGCAAGCTCTCCATAATACAGGGCAATAACTGGATATCCAGGAGGAGTCCCAGTGAGTAACCTGTATTGATAGTGTAGCAGAAGCCAGAGGCCCCGAACCACACCCACTGGAGCATTTGCAAGTGAAGATGTGTTGACACACTGTGACACAATACAGCTTCCATGATGAGATTTGTTTGTTTCTTTTTTTTCTTTTCTTTTGGAGGGGAGGATGCAAGATCAGAGGGCAGATATGAAGGGACAGGGAGATGAATGGGACTGGGGTACATGATATGAAATTTACAAAGGATCAATAAAAAGTTAAAAAAAAAAAGATTAGCTAGGAGGAAATTGAAGGCAGAGCTCAAGCCTGGAAAACCAGTGATTAGAAATCAAGGCAGAAAACCCAGGCCCTGATTGATTAACCTTGATGAACACATAAGTCCTTTGGTAGACCGGCATTTTGAATGATGTTTGTCCCACTTTGGGAAGAGAGTGATGGGGCCAGCAAGAGAGTGGAGTGGGTAAAGGGGCTTGTTGCCAGTCTGAATTTGTTTCTCGAGTCCTACAAGGTGGAAAGAGAGCACATGAGCACCTCTCCCACACAAATAAATGCTTTAAAAAGTTAAAAGTAGGTAATAATAAACAAACAAACAAACAAACAAACAGAAATAGAAGCTCTGGAGACAGCTTAGTGACAGACTGTACACCTAGCATGTGTAAGACCCTGGTTTCTGTTACCAAGCACTGCCTCCTAAAGAAGAAAGTGAATTTTCATTTTATCCTTGTGAATATGTGTTAAACATTTTTCAAGATCACATCTCAGATCTCTGTAGAATGTTATGCCATTATTATATTTATTATATATAATATGTATATTATATGTATATTACATATAATTATATGCATAAATATAATTATATATTGTAAGTAGAGTTAAAGGTGAGAATTTAACAAGTGATCACTGTAAGTATAAAGATACCAGTGTTCAGGATCAGAGTGTTGACATCACTCATAGTGAGGATGCTCAGATTGGTCAGAATGAAAGCAAACACCTCCTAGGCACCTGACAAGTCAGCTGTTGCCAAAGTAATGTGCAAAGCCTGCTGCAGTAATGAACTGCTTAGAAAGGATTAGATCTCCAAGCCCTACATGCATGTACACCAGCCAGGGGCCCTACATGCATGTACACCAGCCAGGGGCTGTTTAAAATGGAAGGCTTTTGTCTGGTTGGTTGTTCTGTCTGGTTTTGGTTTTTACTTGATATTGTTTGCTTTGCCTGTCTGAAAAAAGGACTCTCTTAAACCCCAAGCTGGACTCATCACACTCCCAGCAATCCTCCTGTGTTAGCTCCCTGAGTGCACCACCACACCCAGCTAAACTGTAGCTTTCCTAACTTACCATAGATACTGAAGTTTGGTACCTTGGCAACAAAGCAGGCTTCTCAGGTGAGTCTGATGCAAGATGACACTGTGACTTGACAGAAAGGCCTGTATGGTCATGCCACTGACTTGTCCAAGGTCGGTTCTATAAAGCCACAGAAAGTGACTGAAATACCTAACCAAGGCCACTTTTGTAGCCACACCTCCTGGCCTGAGTTTCCTCTCTCTCTATTATTGAGTGCTGTGTGCTAAAAATTCTAGCCACTGGGAACTGAATGCTGCTTTCTGACCTGGAACTTGGGGCTTCCTGATCCCCTTGTCTGTAAGAGTCATGTCCCCAAAATCCTCATTGGTCTGGAATGCTTTGCTCTATCTTAAATTTGAATTTGGGATGTCCTTCCTCTTCCTCCTCCCTCTTTAAACAGTCTCACTACATTGCAGGTTGTCCTGGAACTCCCTATTTAGACAGGCCTCAAGAGACAGAATCTCCTGCCCCAGCCCCGAGTCACTTCAAAGGTGTGCTCTGCCACGCCTAACTTGAGAATACTGTATTGTTTTGTTCCTTTCCTTTCTTTTATTTTCTATTTTCATTTTTTGAGACGGAGTCTCTCTGTGTAGCCCTGGTTATTCTGAAACTTAATATATAAACAAGGCTGGCCTCAAACTCACAGAGATCCACCTGCCTCTGTCTTTAATCCCGGAGTGTTGGGATTAAATTTGCTACAAACCTGAAGGAGATCTTGAACTTCTAAGCCTCTGGTCTTCACCTCCCCAGAGCTGAGATTACAGCCCTGCACTGCTACACTCAGTTTCTGCTCTGCTAGAGATGAAACACGGAGTTTCATGTATGCTGGGAAAGTATTCTGCTAACTGAGTTCCATCTCCAACTCCAGAATGTTCTTTCTTACTCTCTCCTTCATTACACACCCTGGGTTAAGTTAGCTCCCTCATTCTTTTTCATAGATTCTGATACTGATGATTTACTGTAGTATAAAAGTATTATTTTATTTTATTTTATTTTATTTTATTTTATTTTATTTTATTTTGGTTTTTCGAGACAGGGTTTCTCTGAGTAGCCCTGGCTGTCCTGGAACTCACTCTGTAGACCGGCTAGCCTCGAACTCTCAGAAATCCACCTGTCTCTGCCTCCCAAGTGCTGGGATTAAAGGCGTGCGCCACCACCGCCCGGCCCAAAGTATTATTTTCTTAAACTGCTTATCAGACATGAAAGCCTCAAGGACAGGAAAGAAATATAAAGTAGGTGTAGACCACAGGAGTAACTGAAGGAAAGGGTAAGTGTTGGTAAGATGCTGTAAGCTGGAAGGCAGGAGATGAAGGGAAGTGCATCAGCTATGAGGTAGGTGGCAGGGAAGTTGTGATTCTGTGAAAAGGGAGGTGGCGCCGTGAGGTTAAAAAGTAGACAGTGAGTGGCAGCCTCCGAAGCCATTGTTTGTCACAGAAGCATGCACAGACATGCACTGCATTGCCTTTAGTCATGGTCCACAGCAATCAATCAAAATAATCTCTTAAACTCAGAGGTGAAGAAAAGAATGATCCCACCGGGCAGTGGTGGCACACGCCTTTGATCCCAGCACTTGGGAGGCAGAGCCAGGCGGATTTCTGAGTTCGAGGCCAGCCTGCTCTACAGAGTGAGTTTCAGGACAGCCAGGGCTACACAGAGAAACCCTGTCTCGAAAAACCAAAAACCAAAAAAAAAGAAAAAGAAAAAGAAAAGAATCAGCCCGAACACAGTGAAGGTGAAGATGCTCAGTGGGCAAAACCAGTAGCTTCCCACTCCCTAGGCCAGAGTCTTTTTTTTTTTTTTTTTGGCAGAACAGGAGCTGAGTCACAGCTTAGTGACAGAGTGCTGCCTAACAAACAAGGTCCAGCATCACAAAATTATACAATATAAGAGTAAATTAAAAGTGTCATCTGGACTTGATGGCATATGCTTTTAATCCCAGTAGAGGCAGATGCAAGCAGATCTCTGAGTCTGAGGCCAGCCTGGTCTACAAAGCAAGTTTCAGGACAGCCAAGGCTACACAGAGAGATCCTGTCATAAAAAGATAGGAAAAAAAATTAAAAGTGTCAAAACACACAAAAAAGGTAAAGACTGGGGAAACTAGGTGAAGTTCAGGGGAGTTCTTTGTTTTTTGTTTTTTGGTTTTTTTTTTTTTTTGAGACAGGGTTTCTCTGTGTAGTACTGGCTGTCCTAGAACTCGCTTTGTAGACCAGGCTGGCCTTAAGCTCAAAACCCTCCTCCATCTGCTGGGATTAAAGGTGTACACCACCGCCCAGATGTTCAGGGAGTTTTACACACTGCAATATATTTTTTGCAGTATCATATACAGTTCACAGTGTATTGCGCATTTATCCATACAACTGCACTTTATCTATAACTCTCTCAGCCTGTTTTTCCCTCCTATCTCTACCTCCCAGGTGTAGTGATTAAAGGCATACCCTACCACTTGCTGTACAAATTTTATTTTGTTCTTTACTTTTTCATTACTAAGGCACTAAAGAAAAAACCCAGGCCTCATAGAGGCTAGGCAAGAACACCACCACTGAACTACATCTAAAATTGTGTTGTTTTCTTGAAATGGTATTATTGCCTAGCCTTGAATGTCTTGGAACTCACTGTGTGGCCCAGGCTGCCTTGAAACTAGACAATCATCCTTCCTCAACCTCCTAAATGCTGGGACTTTAGGCATAAACCACGATGCTTACTTATCTTTTTTTTTTTTTTGGTTTTTCGAGACAGGGTTTCTCTGTGTAGCCCTGGGTGTCCTGGAACTCACTCTGTAGACCAGGCTGGCCTCGAACTCAGAAATCCGCTTGCCTCTGCCTCCCAAGTGCTGGGATTAAAGGCTTCCGCCACCACCGCCCAGCCTTTATCTATTTTTGAAGCACAGTCTTGTTCTTCAAAAATAATGCAGCCCAGATGGCCTTGAACTCTCAGTAATTCTGTCTGACCGCTAGCATTGTACGCCACCACGTGGGCCTCTGGATTAACCTTCACATCAGGATCAGGAAACTTTCCGCTGTCTCGGGCTCTCTCGCTTATTGGAGTATTGAGTCCAATGGTCTCAATGGTTTCAATGGTCTCAATGGTCATAGGTCGGCTCTGAGGCTTATTAAGATTCCAACTTGGAGGCCAGATAGAGTCATCCTGCCTCCAGTGGGTGTTCTCAAGCTGCACTTATCGGAACTCTTGCAGAACTCTTGAGTGCGGACTCTGGTTGGAAGGTTCAGGTTTCACCCTCTTGGGACCCCGAGCCTCTGCAGTGCTTTGTCGCTCGCGGAAGAGCGTTGTAAGCGACAGCCGCGCGCTCCGCCTGCGCTCCACCGAGAGGCCCCGCGCCGCGGCTGGCCAAGCCAGTAGGCAGCGATCCGGGCTGGGCCGGGACTTCCTTCCTCCCGGGCAGGACAACAGAACCACCCACAGCCCGCACGGAGCTCCAGTCAGCTAGCGGAGCTACAGCGCAGCGATGGGCTCCCTGCTGAGCAGCGACAGCTCCAAGTCCGCGTCCGCCTCCGCCGCCCCGCGGACTCCGGAGCGCAGCGGGCACCCGGAGCTCCCCATCACCTCCTTCGACTGCTCCGTGTGCCTGGAGGTGCTACACCAGCCGTTCCGGACTCGCTGTGGCCACGTGTGAGTGTCGGGTGGCGCGCCCACCCAGCGGGGAGGGATGCTGGGGAAGCCGAGGGCACAAGTTGGGTGGGAACAGAAGCAGCGAATATTGGGGAAACTAAAGCAGAACTACGGCCACCTAGACAGATCCAGGAAGACACCCAGGGTGTGTGTTTGTTTGTGTGTGGTTGGGGGCGCTTATACCGGATTGTGAGAGCGGGACAATCGTGGGGTGGTAGGACAGGGACCTCCGACATGCACTCTGGTCCAGCTAATAATTTTGACTGATGGAGTGTGCCTCCCACTCTCCTGAGAACCTGGGTAGGTTTTGTTTTGATTTTTGGAGCTGCGCACATGGTCCATAACGTCCAGAGGCTGATCTCTTGTGCTGTAAAGGACCTGTGCAAACTCTTTCAATTCCCACACGCATCCCTTTCCCAACACAGACCTCGACCCCTCGAAAATCGTCAAGGCCAACTAGAGCATGCCAAAGGCTTTCTGAGGTCGTTAGCTTGACCAAATAGATAGGGTGGGGCTTGGAGCTCGGATGTTTGCTTCACACCACTAAATTCACCCGTTTAAAAACTGCTGCAAAGTGACTTGGTTGTGAGCTACCTGCTGTTGGCACGGCCCCTCCTCAAACCGAAAGTATAGACAGTCTTCTTCAAAATCACGTGCATGTAGTGAAAAGCAGTAGTTGTTTCTAAGAAGGCTTTTAAAAAGAAGCCTCAGGCGTATGCTGTTAGGGTATGTTCTTAGGGGGTGTTTGAATAAGCAGAGGGCCGTTTATTCAGGCAGGGTTTGTGTGTGTGTTGTTTTTTTGTTTTTGTGGTCACATGGGTGAGAGTTTTGTGCTTGTATGCATGCATAGATCGGAAGGAAAGCCCACTCCACCGTCACCTCTGATGAAACTAATGACAATCTGATAAAGAACAAGAAGAAAAACACATTTGCTGGTGTCGACTTTTGGCTTACCAACAAAGGAAAACCCCGTATATTATTAACGCATATGCGCGACCGTGTTTTTCCGTGTTCTTAACAGCACTTGAAGGCTTGACAAACACGGAGAACCGGGAAGCCCCGGTACCGACAGGGAACCAGGAAGGAGAATGTGCCGCCCAAGAGTGCTCTGGGCACTACTTTGTGGTTATTCTCTGGACCTGTTTTCTTCAGCTTTGTACTTTAAATTCAAGGCTTATATATTTAACATCTTTTCCATTTTGTGGTGTTGTTCCCTAGCTGTCTCAATATTATAGTTCTTTGACATACCATCCAAAGGCCAGGTTGACAGGATGAGAGTCAAGGTTCTGTTGTATAACGTTATGAAATATATCAATTAGGTCAGAACAATAGACCTAAAGAGAATTACATTTTTTTTTATTTTTATTCTTTTGGTTTTTCGAGACAGGGTTTCTCTGTATAGTCCTGGCTGTATAATCTAGCCTCAAATTCACTTCATAGCTTTACAGTCGAACCGAGATGAACAGTAAGCTTTTTGTTTGTTTGTTTTTGTTTTGTTTTTCAAGACAGGGTTTCTCTGTGTAGCCCAGGCTGTCCTGGAACTCACTCTGTAGACCAGGCTGGCCTAGAACTCAGAAATCCGCCTGCCTCTGCCTCCCAAGTGCTGGGATTAAAGGCATTTGCCACCACCACCCAGCCGAACAGTAAGTTTTGACAATCCCTTCCATTGCTCTGAAGGAGCAACCTTGCTACCATAGTCCTATGATTCCAGATTGTTTTCAGGGGTTGGATTTTGAACACTTTATTTGCTTCTACCAAAGGAGAACATAAACTTGCAAAAATGTTACATTTCTTTCTGTTTAATCTTTTTTTCTTTGTTAAAGTGAATAGGAAACAGACCACTGGAAAAAATAGTCATACAATATCCTAACAAGGACTGGATGAATTGCCTTCCCTCCCTTAACTGTTCTTTGTTTTGACAAATCTATGTCCATTGTTCTGGCTGTGGGCAGAATTTCCATGTTCTTCCTTTTAGCCAACTTGGGCCCCTTCCACTTTTTAAATGTTAATCAGAGTCCTTTTGCGCTGTTGTTAACAGCAATTGTACATTCTAGATGAATGACTCCTGCCAAGCTTAAGTTGCAAAATGAGAAAATTGCAAGTGAAACCCTCTGTTTTTATCAACCCATATCAAGGTTAGATTATGAACTGGGTTGTTTTTGTTGCTTTTAATTTACAAACAAGTAAATGGCAACTGTTCTTTGGATGAGTGAATAGGTGAGCCTTATACTCACAGCTTGACACAGTGTGCAAACACATGACTACAAGCTGGGTTTGGGATTCAGCCTTATGACCAAGAGCTTGACTCTCATTCTCAGTCTCTGCCTTTAACAGGTGAGCCGTGAGCTGTTAGCGAGTGAGACCCACAGAAGCCTGTGAGGAAGGCCGAGAGCTAGAAATGTGAGCCCAGTGGTAGAGCACTGGTTTAGCACACGCCCAGTCCTGGACTGGATCTCCAGTGCCACCACATAGTCATCTGTCTCATGTATTCCAGATGACCCTGAACTCACTCTGCAGTCAAAGATGACCGTTCACTTTTAGTCATTTCATTTCCTTTATTTTTCTTTTTCCTTTTTTTGAGAAATGGGTCTGACCTTGTAGAGCAAGCTGGCCTTGAATTCTGAGATCTTCCTGCCTCTACTACCTAAATGCTGGGATTAAAGGCATGTGCCATTCTTAATGACAAGGACTCTTCTGCCTTTCTAGTCTAGATTACAGGCATGTTATACATGTGATGCTTGAGTATCAACCTCAGGTCCTTTGCCAGATAGGCAGGCTGAGCAGGCACTATACCAAAATGAACTATACCCCCATATCTGTTTGTTTTTGAGACAGGATTTCTGTGTAGCTCTGGCTGTCCTGGAACCTGCTTTGTACAACAGGCTTGTCTCGAACTCAGATATATGCAGTCCTCTGCCTCCTGAGTATTGGAATTTTGTCAGACCACTGCTCTGATACCTGTTTTTTGTTTTTTTGTTTGTCTTTGTTTTAATGGAATTTCTGGGCTTTCAATTTATTTTTTATTTGAGTAAGATGATTGTCTTAGTTAGAGTTTTACTGCTGTGAACAGACACCACAACCAAGGCAACCCTTATAAGGACAACATTTAACTGGGGTTGGCTTACAGGTTCAGAGGTTCAGTCCATTATCAAGGTGGGAACATGGCAGCATCCAGGCAGGCATGGTGGGGAGGAGCTGAGAGTTTCACATCTTCAGTGGAAGGATGCTAGGAGAGGACTGACTTCCAGGCAGCTAGGATGAAGGTCTTAAAGGCCACACCCATAGTGATACACTTCCTCTAACAAGGCTACACCTCCTAAAAGCGCCAATCCCTGGGCAAAGCGTATACAAACCATCACAATGATACAGAATACAGGGGTGGAGGCAAGAGGACAACTTTTAGGGATTGGTCCTCCTACCTTGTGTGTAGGTCTGCTCTAGTAGTCAGGTGTGGTGGCAGGTGCCTTAAATTGTCTCCACAGGGTCTCTTGTACCCTGTACCTCATGCTGGGTCTAAACTCACATCATGAGCAAGAATGACCTTGAACTACTGATAGTCAGGCCTCAATCCTACTTTGTGGGTGTTCTCTCTCTCTCTCTCTCTCTCTCTCTCTCTCCCTCCCTCCCTCCCTCCCTCCCCTCCCTCCCTCCCTCCCTCCCTCCCTGTGTGTGTGTGTGTGTGTGTGTGTGTGAGAGAGAGAGAGAGAGAGAGAGAGGGAGGGAGGGAGGAGAGAAAGACACCTGTTCTGTATTCAGGCTGGCCTGGAGCTCACGGTGTAGACATACAAACAAGACAACAAGACTCTGAGTGAACTCACATAGATCCACCTGCCTCCCAAGTGCTTGGATGTGCACCACCATGCATGACTTCCATCATTTTATATTTTGATTTGATTATTCATATCACAAAAATCATTGTAAAATTAGGTTAGAAGAAAAGGACTTCCTGCATTTGTTTTAATATTGTCAGAGAACTGGGGAAAGAGCTATTGAATGGAAACTGAACTGAACTAAAGAGGAACCTGATTTACTACTGAAGAGAACGGTCTGGGGATGTTGTTCATTGGTAAAGCACTTGCCTAATCTGTGCAAGGTTCAGTGTCCAGTGCCAGGAAAATAAACTCTTATGGGAGTGTTATAGACACAGCTGCTGAGAGGGCTGGGGATAAAAATGAGCTACTTTACATGATCAAGGCCACTTGTATTTGTCTGGGCATATGGTTTCCATGATGGCAGAGAGGAGCTAAGGCAGCTGGAAGCTTGAGTTCTTACATCAGGAAGTAAAGAGTGGGACCTCAAAATGGCCAGAGTCTAAATTCTCAGTCAGCCTCAGGAGATATACCTCCTCCAAGACCAGAACTCCTAAGCCTTTGAAAACACTGCAGCCACCTGGAGACCAAATATTCAGATGCCCAGAACTATGGGGGACATCTCCTTTAAACCAGCACAATTCTGATGCAGTGGCAGAGTTCTTACCAGTGTGTGCAAGGCTTTGTTTTAAAAATTAGGGTCCAGCCGGGCGGTGGAGGAGCATGCCTTTAATCCAGCACTTGGGAGGCAGCGGCAGGTGGATTTCTGAGTTCGAGGCCAGCCTGGTCTACAGAGTGAGTTCCAGGACAGCCAGGACTACACAGAGAAACCTTGTCTCGAAAAAAGTTAGGGTCCAGTTTTCCTCCCAGCCCCATGCTCCCAGAAATAAGACTCAGATTCAAAATATATTTACAAATACCTTGGCCATATAGCTAGGCCCCTCAGACTAGAATCATAACTTAAAATAACCCATCTATTTTAATCTACATTGTGCCATGTGGCTGGTTACCTGTGCTCAGATACCATACCTCCATCTCCTTACTTATATCTAGCTCTATCCCAGAATTCTTTCTGCCTCCCAGATGTTCCACCTTCTATTCTAGACAGGGTTTCTCTGTGTAGCCAACAAACAAACAAAAAACAAACAAAAAATTTAAAATGGAATTGCTGATAGCTCATTCTGGTGAGGC